CGTTCTACAGTTGCTATCGGTTGCTATACAGAGTCTAGTTTCTCTTCTCATTCGGAGGTGGCTCTGGGGACACCAAGCACCGTGGTTTGGTCAGCTCATGCCCCATTTCGGTGGTTTTAAATTCCAAACCATTGCACCGAACGGAAAGGGAATGAATGCGGGAAGAGAAGGCAAGGTCTCGATTGAGGGATTTCTAGAAAGATGCATCGGCTCCTCCAGCTCCTCCCAACCCAGAAAGAACTGGACTCGGATGGTACCACTTAGCCCTAAGCATCGATTTACCGATGGCGGAGAATCGTGGAAGAACCGAAAAACCTCCTTCAAATATTTGATTCCTGGTTCGCTATTGGTTCTCCCTCTCCGGCTACGCTGTTCCGCCCGAGCCCACTCCACTCTTGGATCACCCCTTCACTGTTCTGTTCAGTTCCTATTGAGGAGATCTAGGAGTAGTTTGAAAATATATATCCGATGTCGATTCAAAAGTAATTTCTCGAGGAAGATGAATGAGGGAGTCAGATTCTTTAACAGCCGATTCTCAAGCACTTACAGCGCCTCTATTATAGAAGCGAAAGCGATGCGCCTTATTGACCAGCCGAAGAGCATCCTTATAAAAGAATGAATGGGAAGCAGGCCCGGTCTATATTGCTACAGCCCTTCCTTCTGCTTTTACTCGAGCAGATTCTCCTTATGTCCCGTTCCAACAATCAAAGGAGATGACATGCTGGGATAGGGGATCACCACCAGTCAGAGTGGTTGCTCCTTGCCTTGCCCCTATTGAAAGAAAGTAAAGTCATCTGTCCCAGAGCCTATGATTGCAAAGAAGACCTAGTCTGATTAATTGACTTCAACGAACCTATTTGAAAGAAAAACAGCTCATTCGATCACACCAAGAAAAACTAGTGCTGCTCCTTGGCTTTGGATCTACTAGAAGAGGAATGCCTCTATTTATGCCTTTAGGCAGGTTAAAGAATGATTTTAGCAAGGTGGATTAGCAGCTTCATGGGGAATCAGGGAGCTCAAGGTTTACACGTAGAACATCCCTGGAAGGGACCTTCACTGTCTACCAAACGAAGGTCGTGTTCTCTATCAGATATGACCTTTCGTAGGCTCGTGGATCACCTTTGGATATGAGATTGAATGCCCCACTTCATTTGCCATAGCTGCTTTCAACCTACTTGTTCTTTCACTACCCTTTGCAACCATAATCATAATAAAGGATTGCACGAGATTAAGTTCAAAGCTTTGGTTTTTTAAGGAGTGATGGAAGGTAATCACTATGCCCTGGTGTTTGAAAAGTTGCTTGTAAAAAAAAAAAAAAAAAAAAAAAAAATCCTTTTCAAATCAGCTACCATGAGAGGAGGTTCACATTCATCGCTGTCTCATACAGATTAGTGGCCAAACTAACGAAATCGAATGCGGTTCTGAGGGGGAAGTTATAGACACCTTTTCATACTTTGTATCAGGAGTACTTCATTTAATTTCCTTTGCAGTATTGGGTTTTGACGGTATTTATCATGCACTTCTGGGACGTGAGACACTTGAAGAATCTTTTCCATTCTTCGTTTATGTATGGAAAGATAGAAATAAAATGACCACAATTTTAGGTATATATATAAAAGAAACATTCAATTTACCCTTTTTTCCTTATATAACATTGTCAACATTTTCATTCAAAGATTATAAATTGCACGATTAATTAATATAATAAAAAATATAACTATTTAAATACGAAGTACAATAAATTGAAAAGGAAAAAATTGCTTAAATATGATCAGCAATTAGCAGGGAAAGAGTCGAACATGAGAGAAATTATCTATCAACCCTAGAAACCTTACTAATTATTCTAATAATGAGGAGTTACTTACCCTTTCTATATTTGTATCCACTCCAATAAATACAAGTTTCGTATCTCAATTACACATTTTTCACTAAAATCAAAATTGTAAGCATTGATAAAAAAAAATATTATGAGTTCTAATAAATAATTAACATAGTATTAATTATTATTATTATTATTATTATTATTATTATTATTATTATTACATGTTCATTTTTTTTATAAACATAAAAATTGATGGTAATCCAATTACTTATTAGATATAAATATATGAAGAAAAGAAAAAGATTTTTATCCAATATATATAAAATATAAAATATAAAATGTGGAGATAGATAAGAAACATTCAATTTACCATTTTGTCCTTATACACATTTTTCGTTCGAAGATTATAAATTGCACGTTTAGTTAATGTAATAGATAAAAAAAATTAAATACAAAGGACAATAATTGAAAAGAAAAATTTGCTTAAATATGATCAACAATTATGATGGAAAGAGTCTAAAATAGAGAAATTATCTATCAATCTTAAAAACCTTACTAATTATTCCTAATAATTAGGAGTTACTTACCCTTCCCATATTTAT